GGGGAGCAAGCAGTGTGGGGACGACTTCCCTCCCCGGGGTCCTCGCTGGGGGCGGGAGAGGTGCTGCCGCAGTCAGGCTGCGTACTCACTGTTGAGTCCCTCTTTGTTCACGATGGAGCTGCTGCCCAGGGCCTGGTAGTACTGCTGGTTGCTCATGAGCGTGTGCATGCCCAGGATAGCTGCGGGGACACGGGGAGGGCCGTGACTCGCCCCTCTCAGGCAGAAGAGCCTCCCGAGCACAGACATTCCACACCCTCGAAATGTTTGCTCCCATAAATGGCAAGAAATGCTTGCTTGAAAACTTTTAAATTTGATTATTTAAGCAAATGTCAACTCTCTATCACCAGCCTAGACTTCTCTAGTCCCTGGCCTCCGGTTCCTAGATGTCCCCGGATGTCCCCCTGGCACATCCAACCCAGTCTGGCCAACACAGAACTCATCTTCCCCAGCAACAGCCTCTTCCTCTGGATCACCTTTATCCTGTCATCCTGCCTGTCCCTCACGGTGGGACCTCACTCCATGGCACCTTCACCAAGTCCTCGCCCTTCTAAACAGTGCCTCTCGTCTGTCCCACCTCCCACTTGTTCACCTTTGTCCTGGTTGAGGCCCTATCATATCTTGGCTGTATTGTCACGGCTGTGTAGTCGCTGGCATCCTGGCCCCACCCCCCTAGTTTCAGCACAGAGCAGCCAGAAAGATCTTTCTGGAAAAGCAAATCTGACCGCATCACTCCTATGCTCAGTTGTTCTTTCATCCATTCACTTATTTAACGTTTACTGAGTGCCGACATCATGTGTCCAGCTGCAGGGTAGAGGGGGGCAGGCGGGAAGAAGAAAGACAGGATCCCCGCCCAGGTAGCTTACAGTCTGCTGGGGGATGGAGCCGCTAAGCAGTTTCCATCAATAGAAACAGAGGCGCAGCGTGTGGCAGGTGCTGTGAAGGAGAAGCTCAGTGTGTCCTGGGAGAACGGAACAGAAGGTCGTGGCTGGGAGTGATGACTAAGTGCTGGCCAAGGTAAGAGGGGGGAGGTGGAACATTCTGGGCAGAGGGAGCGGCGGGTGGGAAAGCCCCAGGCTCAGGGACTGGAAGGCCAGGAGGGAGGGGGACACGGAAGACAGACAGAGATGAAGTTGTGGACAACACAGCACCCCGCTCGCCGAGCTCTCTCTCTGGGCGGGAGAATCNCCTCTCTCTGGGCGGGAGAATCCGCTGTCCATCATGATTCGCGTTGGGTTGCGCGTTGGAATCACTGGAGAATCTTGAGAAACTCCTGACGCCCAAGGCCTTCCCCAGACCAATGAAACCACAATCTCTGGGATTGGGGCAGAGATATCTTAATTTTTAAAAACTCCCCAGGTGGTTTCAATGGGCCCTCAAGATGAGGAACACCTCCTGACACGATCCCTCTGAATCCTCCCAACAATGCTTGGGAGTAGACTTTATTCAAATAGTCAATATGGGATCCTGCAGGGTCTGCAAGGTTTAGGTAAGGAGTTGGATGTCTTCTTTAGGTACAGCCTGGGAGGCCACTGAAGGTCCGAGCAGGGCATGAGATGGTCTGACTTGGATTCTGTGTGTTACTCTGGCTGCCTGGAAAACTGACTACAGAGGGAAGGAAGGACCGTGAGGCTCTTGCAGCCACTGGGGTGGGTGGACGGTGGCTTGTGACCCCCAGAGCCTGGCTTCACCGGCCTTCCCTGGGCTGGCCCTGCTTCAACAGCCTTGTCCCTGTTTCGGGGACACAGTCACTGCTGAGTAGATTCTCCTGCTTCTGCCACCGCCGCCCCTCTGCTGGCGGTCCTCTCTTCATCTGCAGTGCCCTCTGCTGAAATGCCCCTAGTAGTGTTGCTAGATTAAGCACATAAAATTAAAGACATCCAGTTAAATTGGAATTTCAGGTAAACAATGAAAAATGTCTTAGTATAAGTAGGTCTCATTCAGTATTTGGAACCTAATTAGAGTAAAAACTTATCCATTGTTTATCTGAAATTCAAATCTAACTTAGCATCCTATACTTTACCTAACAACTCTACCTCTCCATCCCTCAGGACTTAGAATAACACTTCCTTCCCCAGAGAGTCTTCCTGGATTCCTCCCTCTCCCCTGCTAGTTCTCCCACAGGACCTGGTGTCCTTATCTCAGCATATAGTCTACATGGTTTTGAGATATCTGGGTACCTGTGTGCTTCCCCTACTGGACTATGAACTTCCAGAGGCCGGGAAAGAATATCATCTTTCTCTCTTCTACCTCTTCCAGAATACGATAGCATTTGGTAAATACTATTTGCTGATGAACCCCCCCCCCCAGCTATTTCATTAGACATGGTTTCTAGTTAGAGAAAAAACACCAGATCTTTTAGCGAAGAGTCAGGGGATGAGTCCTACCTATGACCCCAGTGCTGTGAGACCTTGGGCAAGTCCCCTCCCTCTCCAGGCTTCGGCCTCCTCTGTCCAATGCCGGGGTGAGATGAGATCATGGCAGGTCATATGATTCACCTGGGAACTTTGAGACAATATCCATGCTCCACCCTAGACTGACTAATATGAATCCCTGGAGGTATATTTTTTAACGTCCTTGGATGGTTTTGATGCTCCATGGGAGCTGGGAACCACAAGGCGAGATGATCTCAAAGTCCCTTCTGTTTCTCACATTCTAAGAGTCTTCTCTGCTAAAATTAGACCTGCCTGCTCATCTCTGAGGAGAACTAGAAGGGCGAGAGGCATCTGCATTTTTAAAAGCTCTCTGGGCTTTTATTTAGGCTGTGGCCATGTGGGCAGTGGGAGCTGAGGCCTGAATCAGCGGCAGGTGAATCGGGTGGTCGTGCATCACCTTCTGGAGCCGCTACTTCCAGCTGCCACACAGGGTGCGGCTCGCGGTGGCCCTGGGCTGCTGCTGCTGTGGTTGCAGGTTTGGAAAATCAGTTTGGAATTCCAGGAAAGACGTGACCTCACGTGGCTGGCTGGTCTTGCTTAGAGGATATAGAGCGGTAGAAAATGGAAGATGCATTCTGTGCTGGGATGATAGCTTCCCATAACAGTCCAGAAAGGGGTGCAGAGGCAGGAAGGTTACAGAAAGTGCCAGGGGCCAGACGAAGGAGACCTGGGCTCCAGCCTGGCTTTAGTACTAATGTGCTGGGTAACCCTGTCCAGGTTACTTCTGCTTTTTGGGCCTCAGTTTTCTCATCTGTAAAACGGGGTGTGTTTTGAAAGCTGATCTTTTACCCTCACATAGGACTTAACAGCCACACCACATCTCATCATTTTATCCTGTTTGGCTTTTTACAACAAGCCTCCAGGGCAGGTGCTATGGGCCCTCCACTTTTCCAGCAGGCTTGAGAGGGAAGTGGTTTGTCAAAGACCATTTGGCAAGGACTGTCTGGCTCCTAAGTTAGTATTCATTCCCACACACTCCTCCACACACTAGGTCACCAGCAGTTTTAAAGTTCTAAAACTTCCCCTCTACTTTGAAATTCTAAACACAGAGGTAATAAATGTCAATAGCAGGTCTAAGACGAAATAAAACCATTCTGCAGCTCTGAGGAAACTAGGGTTCCAAGGAAGAAGGAAGGAAGGAAGGAAAGAGGGAGAGAGGGAGGGAGGGCAGAGGGCAGGGGAGGGAGGCGTGAGTGACGAAGGGAAACCGCACAGTGAGGCTGCCTGCTGCCTCATTCTTGGTAGATACTGGCAAGGCTGAATTTAGCACTGGGGAATGTGATTTTTTAAAAATAATAAGTCAAATCTTCCTCAAAACTCAAAAAGAACTATTTTTGAACTCTGAAAAAGAACATCAAGTTCTCTTTCCTCTCTCTGCCTTGGCAGGGTTCGCAAAGTCCGTAATTCCACTAAGGATGCAGAGATAACGCACACATCCTGGGCCTCTCCAGCTGCCAACTGCTGGGCTGGCTCAGGGCAGACGGCAGGCATCCCGGGAACAGGTGGGAGAGGCTGGCTCAGGCCCAGGCCTTGGGTACAGCTGAATGGCTCCTAGACAAGCCGCACCCTGGCTCTCGCAGAGCAGGAGTCTAAGGCACGAAAGTGCACTAGAAGCTGGGGGCGGGGGACTCTGCCTACAACTGCCTCGGAGAGTCACAAGAGCCAGGGGGTGCCAGCTGCCCTTGGGGGTTTCCTGGGGGTTGGCCCTTCTGAAGGGTGTCTCCCTACCCTCAATTCCTTCTTGGGTCCTATACCACCTGAAGGGGCCCTAAAAGCAAGCCAGGATCACATCTCCACCTGGGGAGGGGGAGGCACTGATAATGCCAAATGCTTGCAGATGACTCCCAGTGGCCTCCAAGCCACAACCCAAGGCCACATGCCCAAACTTTCATATTGTCAGAGGCCTGTGCGTTCTGTTCATCACCCTGTGGTGACGCTTTTCATGCTAAAATTTACATGCCTCTGCTTTGTTTTCATCACATCCTGGGCCCACAAGGGCAGGGACTGCATCTGATTCCTTCACGCGGTAGGAGTTCAACCATGTACGCCGACTCCACGAGCAAATGAATGAATGAATGGTGCACAAACATGAAAACAAATGAGAGTCCACAGGCCTTGCCTTACCGGCGTCACACCTGAGTCAGTGTGACACATCTGCTGGGGGTCTACACGTTCCTATCGTCACCAAATATCAAGCCTGCTGCATGTGCATCTGCAAAGCAAGCGGCTCAGAGGGGCTGCCTCCTCCCCCGCGCTCCGCTGGCTCACCCTGCCTTTCCTCCTTCAGGGTCAGCTTCCTCTCTGGCCTTAGCTCCCTGGCCCCAGCCCCTAGCCCAGCCTCCATCCCCACCCTGTCCTTTGTCCTTCATGACACACTCTCACTTATCATTTCACATTGGGCCTCAGTGTTAGTTTACGTGGCTCTGCGAGAGCAGGAACCAGGCTGCTTTCTTGGGATTCTTTCCCCAGGGCTGGTCCAGAGCCTGGCACACAGAAAGAAGGCCAGATAAATGGCTGCTGAATGTGTGAATGAGTGACCAGAAAAGGTGAGCCTCATGGAAACGCTCTGCCTGGGAGCTGAGTCATGAAAGCTCCAAGTGGTGCCCTCCTCTCCCTACTTTTTCTATCTCTAAAGACTCATCCACACTCCTGGCTCCATCTATTGCCTCCTTGAGAAAGGCCAAGCCACCCCCACTCTCCCACCCGTGCTCCTGGTGGGCTTGCCACACCCAGGACTCCGACAGGATGTCCTGCCCCCGCTGCCTCCATCCCTTGCAGCATCTTTGAAATTCTGGCCTCTGATCCAGCACTAGGAACAGCTGGTCTCTCGGTGGAGCCACATCTTCCATGCAGTCCCACAGCTCTATCTGGCCACTGGCCTTACCTGGGGCCTGCCTTCTATGTCCCCCCATCCTTTAAACACCATTGCCTCTCTCTGCCCACACACCTGCTTTCACCTGCCTCTCTCAACACTCCCCTAATCCCAGGTGTCTGTGCCTTAGTGTGGCGTCCAGAGCCTTTCCTCCTGTGGCCCCATGCTCCCCCGGCTGACTCTAGGCAAGGCATTTCACCTCGCTGTGCCTGCTTTCTCCACCTGTAAAATGGGGACAATGAAACTCACTTCATAGGATTGTTGTAGTCAATAAATAAAAAGCAAGGCTTTGGAAGCAACTCCCACAGCACCTGGGATGCAGTTGGAGGTCAGCAAATGTTTAGTCCCTCCTTCCTCAGAGACAGTGCCACATTTAAGTGGCTGATACACAGTGACAGGCGCCCAAGGTTAGCTGATGACTCTAGTGTCGACTTACAGCTCCCCCTCTCCTTTCCAGACATCGGAAGGGTATGGTATCATGAACAGAAAATAATAATTAGCCACGCCAACAAAAATAAAGAGAAATAGTTTCAAGAAATCAACACAGAAACTTAGCCCAATATTGCAGTTCTATTTTGGCACAGAAACTGGCGGATCTGACAGTGGAGTCATTTTATAATCCTTCTGAGCTGACTAATGAGGGGAGTGATGTCACGGAGGGTGATGGGACGAGAAGGACCAGGATAAAAACAGCTCCAGGGTGAGTCAGTGTGGAGAAGCTGCACAGGGGTGTCACCCGCCCACTTCCCTGCTGCTCAGATTAACCAGAAGTCAAGGGGACTCTCCCATCAGGGAAACCGTTTGGTTGAAATATATGAGCATGATGTGGGATCTAATATGACTTGTGTGGTTTTGACAAAACAAAACTTGAACTTCAAAGCAAATCAGGTACATTCCCAAGGTAAGTGTTCCACTTCCAGCTGGGTGGGATGCTCACTGCTTCTGTACTTCACAGTGAAAACGAAAATCTTTCTCTCTCAGCCCTGACACCCTTCCACCACTGTCCTTTGGCCCTCCCCAAATTTTCTCCCTCCCGAGGAAAAGGCTGTTTGGACTCACAGTCTACACACTGGCTCTCCACATTCACTCCTCTGGTCCCTACAACCTGGCTTTGGCCACCAGCACCCAGCGTCGCCCCTCCTGCTTATTGGCGTCTTCTCACTACTCCTCCCCACATGGTCCCACTGCAGATGACAGCAGTCCCCTCCCCCGTTCCCATCCCCTGCGACAAATGCCATCCCAACTCATGCACAAAACCTACCAGAAGCCAGAGATGTGATGAGGCAGGAGACCAAGTCCCCCAGCACTGGTGGCCTCATCTGGCCTCTGACCTCACCTACCTTTGAGTCTCAGGCCAGCCCTGAACCCTCATTCTATCTCCCTAGCTCTCGTCTTAGGTTCTGCCCAATTTGATTCAGCCTTTGGTTCCCAGTCCATTCGTGGCTAACTGGCCCCCATTGTGGCTGGCGGTGCCCCATTTCCACTCCTCATCTCTCAAAGGCTTCTTACTCCATCTAGGCAGAGGAGATGACAGGAGTGAAGGCCTGGAGCTTGACAATGCTAATGACACCCACATCTCCATGCTAGTGATGCCACAAGGGCGACACCATGGATCCCTTGCAGAACTCAAGACTTTCATGTACAACTGTTCCCGCCTGGGTGGCCCACGGCACTTCAAACTCCAAAGGTCTCCAACTGAACTCGGCATTTCCTCTGAGCCTTTTCCTCTCCCATTGGTATGGGCTATTATATCCCTCTAAATCCCATACGTTAAAGTCCTAATTCCCAGTACCTTAGAATTTGTAACTGTATTTGGAGATGAGATCTTTAAAGAGGTGATTAAGTTACAATCAGGCTTTTAGGGTGGGCCCTAATCTAATCTGACTGGTGACTTTATAAGAAGAGATTAAGACATACTACGGGACAACAGGGGACACATGCACAGAGAGACACCGTGAGATGTGGCCATCAGCAAGCCAACAAGAGAGGGCTCAGAAGAAATCAAACCTGCTGACACCTCGATCTTGGGCTTCTGATTTCCAGAACTATGAGAAAATAAATTTCTATTGTTTAAGCCACCAGCCTGGGGTATTTTGTTACAGCAGCTCAAGCAGACTAATATACCCACATTCATTAATGGCACCAACATCCACTTAGTTTCTGGAGCTGGGCAATCTGGAACCTTCCTTGACTCCTCCCCAATCTCACTGTCGCAGCCAGAGAGTTAGAGGCAACCCCATCTTTCCTCTCCCCTTCCCACTTGCCTTGAGTCTCTCCCCATCTTATCCACCCTCCTCTCATCATCTGGGTGATGGTCAATAGCCCCCAAGTCTACAGAATAAAAAGACCACCCATCCCACTGGCAGGGAGCACAGCAGGATGGGGGCATGTGCAGTGTTTTCTGTGGTCAGACCTGACTCCTGCTGGGCATGGATCTCAGGCTGTGGGCAGGGACTGGACCGTAATAAGGAGAGACGCTGAGATGGTGAAGGGCTCTAAAGATTAGGCCACCTCCTGGAGTTTTAGGGGCTGACTGTGAAATATACATGAAGATGGAGGGTGTTGTACAAATATGAGATAGGGGGCTTTTCTGAGCTGCGCAAAGTGGAAAAATAAGATGGCTTTGCTCCAGTCCTTGTGAACCTCCCAAGCTTGAGATGCCCACAGCCCTCTGCCCACAGCCCCCCATTCTCTCTTCCCAGGTGGTGTGGGCAGGATTGGATGCAGGGTGGGTACAGAGCCCATGCAGCCCCCATCCCTCACCCCCAGGATGCTTCCACATCCTTCAAGGCAACAACAGATGGCCCTGTGGTGTAGTGGGTTTGGGTGGTTTTATCTCTATTTTTCTCATTTTGGTTTTTGATGACAGATTTCTATAGGGTGTCCCAAAAATGTATATATACACTTTGAATAATTATAAAGGCAGTGTTTGTTAAAATACATTTCATTTTCAAAATTGAACTATCAGCTATTAAAGTGTGTATACATTTTTGGGGGACACCTTGTATTTTAATATTCTTGGTCTCCTCTAGTCTTTGTTAGAAAGAGAAAGATTGTTCATGTTGAAACAAACTGTCCAAAGCTCCCTGCAGATGTAGGTCAACTCCTTCTGGAGGACCTGGGGGAGCTTCCAGAGTGCCTCTCACCTGCGATGTCACAGAGTTCGGCATCTGAGGCGTTCGCCAAGGCCTCCTCCAGCTCCGGCTCCAGTGTCACACTTTCCAGCACAGGATCCATCGGCTTCTGCTTGGGGACCCAGACTTTTCCTGCAAACACATGAGTGCCTTTTACAAGGAGTGTGGTGGCACTGGGGCAACCTCTGGCGACAGCCCCGGGTGACCATCCCAGAGCCCTGTGATCCCTCGATGCTGAGAGTCCCTCGAAGGGGCCCAGTGCCAAACTTCCCCAAGAACAGGAATGGAAGATTTCCAACAGAGCACCTTTCACATTTGAAAATAATACCTTTATTGCTTGGTCAAACTAGATTGCTCACTACTGAAAACATCGGTCATTACTTTAGATGACCTGCAAGAAGGAAAAAGATAAAAATAAAAAAAAATAGAATGCCAGGATCTGGGATATCCTAACCAAGGGTTCTCATAGGAGAGAAAAATTTAGAAACATCTCTAAATAAAACAAATAAAATATACTAAGATTATTAAAAGAGGACAAGGGAGCAAGAAATGTCTCCTTGCCTCATGGGACGTGATATTTTAACAGTGTCAGACTCATAACTGAAGGAGGGAGCAACGCGGCACACACAGGACGGTCGCTGCCGTGTCCACCAGCAGGGACTGCTGGAGAAATTCTGGGCACTGGGGCGATGGAGCTCCAGCAGTTCTTATAAAAAAATGATGGCGGTCTCCACTTACTAAGAAGGAAGACGCTAAGACAAAATGTGGCAGAAGCAAGTTTGCAGAATGGCATGAATAATTTAATTCCATGCATGAAAAATTGCACATATATATTCACGCAACAGATATTTATTGAGTGTTTCCTATGTTCCAGGCACCTTTCTAGGGGCTAGGAGAAGAGCAATGAATAATTTACAATTTAGCGAAAGGAGATAGATAATAAACAAGCATGTGAGGCTATTAGACGGTATTGTGGGGGGGGAAATGAGGCAGAGCAAATGGCTAGGAAGTTTGAGGCTGGGGCANAGCTATTAGAGGGTATTGTGGGGGGGAAATGAGGCAGAGCAAATGGCTAGGAAGTTTGAGGCTGGGGCATGAGTGAGGTGGGAGCTGCTCTTTCAGGTCAGGCGGTCAGGGAAGACCTCCCTGCGATGACGGCCTGTGAGCTGGGGAGAAATGAGGAGGAAATGAGCCCCTAAGAACAGCGACCAGACGAGGGTGCCTGTTTCCATTGCTGCCATTTGACACTGTACTGAAAGTTCTAGTCAGAGTAAATGAACAGGAAAAAGGAATACCTGGCATCCAGGCTGGAGAAGAAAAATAATCTCTATTTGCAGATGACATCTTATATGTAGAAAACCCAAAAGATTCCAGAAAAAAACTAATAAGCAAATTCAGCAATGTTACATAGTGCAAGATCGACACATAAAAATATGTGGTATTTCTGTGCATCAGCAATGAACAACCTGAACCGGAAATTAAGAAGATAATTTAATCTACAATAGCATCCAAAAGAATAAAATACTTAGAAATGAATTTAACTACGGAGATGAAAGACTTGTGCATACAACACTATAAAACATTGCTGAAAGAAATGAAAAAAGACCTAAATGAGAAAAAAAAATACCCTGAGTTCATGGACTGGAAGACCATATTAAAATGGCAATAATGTACAAAGCAATCTATAGATATAATGAACTCTTTATCAAAATTCCAATGGCCTTTTTCCCCCCAGAAATGGAAAAGCCGATCCTCAAATTCATATAAAATTGCAAGGGGCCCCAAATAGCCAAAACAATCTCGATAAAGAACAAAGTTGTAGGACTCAGATGTACTGATTCAAAAACTTACTACAAAATAAAGCAATGTGGCATTGACATAAGGGTAAATATATAAACAATGGGACATATTTAAGAGTCCAGAAATAAACCCATACATACACCTATGGCAAATTTATTTTAGGTTGCCAAGTCCACTCAATGAAAAAAAGAATAGTTTCTTCAAGAAGTTGTGCTAGGACAACTGGAGATCCACATGCAAAAGGGTGAAGTTGGACCCCTACCGCACAGCATATATAAAAATGAACTGGAAATAAATGGCATCAACATAACAACTAAAACTATATATAAATAAATAAAAACTCTTAGAAGAAAACACAGGTGTAAATCTTCATGACCTTAGATTTGGCAATGCATTCTTAGATATGACAACAACAACAAAAAAATAGATCAATTGGACTTCATGAAAATTTAAAACTTTTGTGCACCAAAGGATATTACCAATAAAGTGAAAAGACAACATACGGAAAAGGAGGAAATGTTCACAAGTCATATATTTGATAGGGTCTGGTATGCAGAATATATAAAGAACTTTTACAACTCAACAACAACAACAAAACCCGATTTTAAAATGGGCCGAAGATTTATAGACATTTCTTTAGAGTATATACATATGGCCAACAACACATGAAAAGATGCTCAACATCCTTGGTCAGTAGAGAAATGCAAGTCAAAACCTCAGTGAGATACCACTTCACACCCATTAGGATGGCTATAGTAAAAACCCAAACCACAAATAACAAGTGTTGGCACGGATGTGGAGAAAGGGGAACCCTTATATACTTTAAGGAGATGACATTGATGCTGGTGATGACAATGATGATGATGAACCTTTTAGCTTTGTCATTATGTGGCCTGGCCATAGAATAAATTCTAGCTCCTCTCCTTGGGTTGGCCTGGTTTTTCATGAAGGCAGCCAGGCTCCGGGAGCCTGGAGCGCTGGCATTCTCTGGAGGGGCAGGACTGGTTGCGTAAGGCCTAGATTCCCTTCTCCACCCCCACCCATCTCCAGCTCCTCCCCAGGGAGAGCGATGGGTGCCTGACGAAACGGACACCAGCAATGCCCTACCAGCTGTCCACCCAGGCCTGCTGCTGACTCTCTCATAGCCTCGGTTTACCCGTTTTCAAATGTGCAGTTGGGATGTTGGAAGTTTTAAGGGCCCATGAAATCCAGGGATCCTATCATCTTTATTTGCTATACAGAAACCGCTCCTCATGGCACAAGTGCCTTGCATAAGAACATCTCGTGCCCACATTCTCAGCGGGGCACACCTAGCCCTTATGGTCAAGGCCCCAGTCATTCCCAGCTCTTGCCCAGCCACCATCCTCAGGATGCCTCCAATTACACAGCCGTTCCAGAGTTCTGTCTCCAGATGCCCCTGGGCTTCCCCGAGTCTCCAAGTTTTCAGTAAAATCTGGTCTGAGCTCCAACGCCAGGGTTTGGGATGGCTCAATGTCCTCCCCACCATGCCTACTCCTGCTGGCTTTTTCATTTTACTATTTATCAAGCAAATACTCTGCGCAGGGTATTGTGCTAATTCAACATGGATACAAAGATAAAAACACAGGCTGGGACCCTTGGCTCATCTCACATTCTTAGGGGCAGGTAGAATGGAAGACACTGAAAATAAGCAATTAATTATGCAATTAACTAATTAATTCAACAAATATATATTGCATGTCAACTATGTGCTAGGGTTTATTAGGTGAGGATGTAGTGCTGTGGTCCTTGTACTCATGGGGCTTATATTCTTTTTAAGAAAAGTATGTTTTTATTAATTTTAGAGAGAGGAAGGAAGAGAGGGAAAGAGAGAGAAACATCGATGTGAGAAACATCCATCAGTTGCCTCCTGTACACACCTCGACTGGGAATTGAACCAGAAACCTGGGCATGTGCCCTGACTGGGAACTGAACTGGGGACCTTTCAGGGTATGAGATGACGCTCAACCAACTGAGCCACCCCGGCTAAGGTGGAACTTATATTCTAAGGGAGCAGCCCACAAGCTTCATTATACATTTATTGAACTTGAACTCACTCATTCATTCACCAACTCTCTACTGAGCCCTACTGTATACCAGGCCCTGCCCCAGGCGCTGAGGGTGCCGTGTGAGCAAAAACAGCCTGCGTCCCTGCCCTCATGGAGCTTCCAGGCCAGTGAGAGAGACAAATGATAAATAAAGAGAGAATGATAAAATCAGACTTGTGATGAAAGAAGCCCACAGGCTCCTGAGATGGAGAATTACCAGGGGGAACTGAAGGGACTGCGTGTCCTGAACCAAGGAGACAGGAAAGGCTTCCCTGGAACAGGAGACAGGACAGTTGAGACCAAAAGGACAGTAACAGCTAATGCTTGCATAGCACTCCCTATGAGCCAGGCGCTCTTCTAAGTGATTTAATATAAATCTTAACTCAGTCTTCATAACTGGTGATACTATTTTCATCAGCCCCATTTTACAGACCAGGAAATGGAGGCACATCAGGTTGAACAGTTCCCTCGAGCTCACCCAGCTAGCACGTGGTAGTGCCAGGATTGCAACCGAACGGGCCCTGCTGCAGGCTGTTTCCGAGCGTCATGCCACTCGCAGGGCAGAAAGCACAGAGGCGCACGGCAGGGCCCGCACTCCAGGCAGCGGGAATGAGCGCCTGCCCAGGCCAGGGGCTGGAGCAGAGCTCGGCAGGCCCGCGGCGCAGCGCTCCAGCAAGGCAGCAGGACAGAGGAGGGCAGGAGGGCCGTTTGGAGGGCAACAGGAAGGGGGGAGACTGCCTCTCTGCTCCCCACACTCCTCCAGGAAGCCTGCCTTAGGCTGGGGCCGGGTGGCAGAGGGACAGGTGAAGGCAGGAATGACGCAGTTGCCAGAGAGGAACTTCTGGGAGAGCAGCGATGGGCAGGGCAGAGGCAGGGTGCCTCTTGTTCTTGGTTTGCACAGGACGGGCCTAGTTCAGGTCTTGTGTCCTGATATCATGATTAATACTTACTTCTCTCACCTTCAAAAGTGTCTAGGTTTGTGAAAAAAAAAAAAAAACCCAAAAAAACAAAACTAAGCAGGACATCCCAGTTAAAGGAGATTAAGGGGGAAGTTTCTCTGGTCTGGTTTACCCAGAAATTTCCCTAAATCTACATCATTGATGCTTTTGGAGTTGGGTTTATGCTTTTTGGCCAGGCAGGGATGCAGGCTAGGAGGCCCAGTCACATTGGGCCCAACATGGGGCCTGGCACACAGCTGGCACTCAGCAATGCCCGGGGAGTGACATATTCATAAGAGCAACATGATTCAGTACCTCGCTTTTCCCCTGTGTAGGGGACCAGATCTTCTCGGTCCTTAAACTCCTTTGCTTGCTTTTCCAAGTGATCCAAGAGCTCCTCCCTTTTAAAGGGGCCCGTGGGCGCCTTGGTGGTCTGATCCTTCTGCCTCAGGCCTGCGGGCAGCAGTGCATTCTACAGTGGAGGTGGTGGCCCGGGTGACAGAGAGAGAGAGAGAAAGAGAGAGAGAGAGAGCGGTCAGCTGCTGAAGACATGCATTTCTCCAGAAACTCATCATTGGACAACGGGGCTCAAGTCACTCGTTTACATGTAAGGAGTCTGACACCTGGTAGGGGCAGGACTTGCCTAAGGTCACACAGCAGACGAGGGGCAGAGCTAGTCTCTTGATCTCCTTGCATTTCTCAGCCTCTAACGCTCTTTGAAGATGAGGGGCAAGGAGTCAGCCAACATGGGGCTGAGCACAGAGGGACAGTCCAAGAGCATCTGCTGAGTGACAAATATGATTAAGCTGGTGTTTGGATGCAGGAGGATATTTATAGCTATTGTGTATAAAGCGATCGGGGAGAGAAGAAGGCGAAGGGGTTTGAGTTAGGCCCTGGGTGCAGAGTCAGGCAGGAAGAAGACACCCCAAAACAAGCGGGTGAAGGCTCAGCAGAGGTGAGGCGGGCGAGGTGGGCGAGGTGGGCGAGGCGGGCAAGGCGGGCAAGGCGCGCTTTCAGGCTGCAGCCCCCGAAGGCCCAGCCAGCTGTCTTCTCCCCTTCTGACGGCTGTGCTCATGCCATACTGGCTGTTAAATATTTTGAACGTCGCCCCTGGAGATGGATCTCAGAAGAAAGATAGCATCAACCAATCATCGCGGTGTCTCCTTCAAACATGGGCAGGCTTCTAGGTGAGGGCTTCCTACAAAGCAGATTCCTAATTAGGGAGAATTTGAATTCCACAGGCTTCCCTTTAATGCAGCCTCCAGTACCTTAGAGATTCCAAGTTTATACTTGCAAAGATGCTCAGAGATTGTCTAGTCCATACACTGTTCCTTCAAGGGGAAACTGAGGTCCAGAACGAGGAAAGATTTGCCCAAGGAGTTTCAGGGACAGGTCTAGAAGAACAGCCAGGGTTCTTCCTTAGATTAGGGGGGGAGGGCAATGTTCTGTTCTAATCATTGCTTTCTCCCCCTTTCATTCAAGGAGGTGGTGGAGGGCACCTGGAAGGCAGGTGTGAGCAGAATGTCACCTCACTTCCTGCTGCACCCCCAAAACGGCCTAACCACACAGCCATTCCATCTTCGATCTTTGTACCATCAAAATGCGTATCTTCAGTCACCCACAGCTCAGCTCCTTTGCTGAAAGCCCCTGAGAGGGGAATGGGATCAGACATATGAAGACAGCTATGTGCACAAAGAGGGATAAAGCCTAGGAAGGAAATACTTCTGTTTAACTGCAGTGTATTTTTTACAAAACGTTTCACCACAGTTTAAACACCACAGTGCTGTTCCAGTAAGAGCAGCGGCTGTGAGATCAGGGGACCGGAGTGTGGCCCTGACTGGGAGAGCTGAAGGTGAGCAGGCCTCGCTCAGTGCATGGTGCGTATTAAGGGCTCGAGGAGTGGTGCCGGTGTACATGCGAGTGGATTTAAGCTACAAGTCAGGAGAGATGTTTGCGGTTTGGAGCATATTATGAGAAGAGGGCTAAGAGGTAAAAAAATGAGCCTTGACTGATTTGGGAGTGAATGTCAAGACATAAGTGATGTCACAGACACCCCAGTTTTCCTTAAGCAGCAGTCCTCAGACGCTGTCCACTGTGATATGAAGGACTGGCAATGGTCACAGGTGAGCCACGCATCTGTGGGCATGTCCAGGTGAGATGGGCTCTCCTATGGCTGTGTGTGTCCATTCCTTCTGTCCCATGGCAGGGCACTAACTGTGGCTTAACTAAGAGAGAGAAGCACCTCACTGTCTCTCTGCGATTACCCATAATGAGTAATCAAGTGCTCTGTGACACGCCTGCCCCTCACAGTGGACCCCCACCAGGCGCATGCCCTGCCTTGGAGTAGTGATGATACATATGATCCTGGGCCAGTTGCCTCATCTCATTGTGTCTCAGTGTCTATGGCTGTAAAATGTGAATATTAGTCACTCTTTCATAGTTGTTGAGAAAATTAAATTAGATAATGCAGGAACAGTGCTTAGCGCACACAACCATTTATTATAACTATTGTCCTATGATCAGATAAAATACATTTTAACAGGAAGTTTGGTTACCTAAATATGTATGTTGAACAGGGGATGAATTATCAAAACATATCTCAAGATTCAAAAAATGAAAACATATAAGTATGAAATAAATTAAGCAACAAAAACAAGTGTTTTCCCAACGACCCTCACAAGGAAAAACCTGATAGATTTTTGTCTGTAAAGGGTTGCGATGGACGTTAAGGTTCTGGGGCACATTCTGGTCTCTGAAAGGCTCAGTATTGTGGTGGGAGAAAACCATGAGGTTGTAAATGAGAGGAAAAGGGTTTGTAAGCTCACACCTCTTCTCGGATATATCTGATAGAGGCCACTGATCTAGTTAAAGTAGGGTTTTCAACCTTGGCATAACTGCTATCTGGGGCTGGATGATTACTTGTGTTGGGGACTGTTCTATGCATTGTAGACTGTTTAGCAGCATCTCTGTCCAGTAGATGCCAGTACCACCTCCTCCCCATGTTGTAACAAACAAAAATGTCTCCAAATATTGCCAGATGTCCCCTGGGGAGCAGAATCACTCCTGATTGAGAACCACTGTGTTAAACAGAGCCCATATAATTAGGAGGAAAATAAAGATGTTTTTAATAGTTTTAAAAATATTACTTACATAGCTTGTTAAAATATGGTTTCATTTGTTTAAATCTTTACTGAAAGCAATTGATTAAAAAAATGTCAAAGGCCTTTTCTAACAATTCTTAGCTTATAAAATTCTTCAAGTAAATATTGAGAATGTCAGCTTTATTAGGCGTTAGTTTTTTTCCATTACATGTTTAATGAAACATAACATGATTTTCAATGAAAATCAAAGACAGCTGCATATTTTTTAAAGTTCTGATTATTTCTCATTTTAATTTATTTTCAAAAATGGCATGTGACTTCACATGGTATAACAAAAATTAACTCAAAATGGATCAAAGGCCTAAATGCAAGAGCTAAGACTATAAAACTTCTAAAAGAAAACACAGGCATAAATCTCTGTGACCCCTGGATTAAGCAATGGTTTCTTAGATATGCTACTAAAATAATAAACAACAGAAGAAAAATAGATAAATTAGACATCATCAAAATTAAAAATGCTTGTGCTTTAAAAGATACTATCAAGAGAGTGAAAAGACAACCCACAGATGGGGAGAAAATTTTTGCAAATTATGTATCTAACAAAGGACTGGCCCAGAATACATAAAGATCTCTTACAATTCAAAATATAAGATACATAACCCAATTTAAAAATGGGCAAAGGATCTGAATAGACATTTCTCCAAAGAAGACATAAAAATGGCCAATACACCCATGAAAAGATGCTCAATATCATTAGTCATCAGGGAAATGAACATCAAACACAGAAGGAGATACTACTTTATACCCACTAGGATAGTTATCATAAAAATGACAGATAACAAATGTTGGCAAGAATGTGGGGAAATCGGAACCTCCCTTCACTGCTAATGGGAATGTAAAACAGTGTGGCAGTTTCTCAAAAGCTTAAAAATGCAGTTATCGTCCGATGCAGCAATCCACTGCTAGGCATATATCCAAGAGAAATGAAAGCATATGCCCGCACAAAAACTTCTCCAGTTCGTAGCAGCATTATTCATAATGGCCCAAAAGTGGAAACAACTCAAATGTCCATAGATGATGAACAGATAAATAAATGGTGGTATCTAGGCAACAGAATGCTGTTTGGCAATAAAAAGAAATGAAGTACTGATATATGTTACAACACAGAGGAAACCTTGAAAACATCGTGCTAAGTGAAAGAAGCCAGTCACAAAGGACTACAGTGTCTGATTCCATTTATATGAAATGTCCAGAATGGGTCAAATCTAGAGAGACAGAAAGTAAGTTAGTGGCTGCCTAGAGTAGGGTAAGTTGAGGGGAAATGGGGATTCACAGCTAACGGATCTGTTTCTCGAGGTAATGAAAATGTCCTAAAATTCATGGTGGCGATGGTTGTATAACTCTGTGAATATACTAAAAATATTGAGGTTCACGCTATAAATAGGTAAATTTTATGGTATATGAATTACATTTCAAAAAAATTAGTAAAAATGGCATATGTTATCTAGAAAATGGCTAGTGCAATAACTAAACTAAATGGCTGTGGACTGCTGAGGACAGAAGGTTCTGTGTGTGCCAGTGGCCAGCAGTGATGCGGAGATTGGCCCGGCGAGAGCTGGTCAAGTCTAAAATGATGTCCTGTTTTATGATGCAATGTGCCTTATTATGTGAATTAGTTGTTGAGGAGTTAAATAGGTAAGAAAATACTGACTTGGATCTTTCATGACTATTAGAACCTAAAACTGACTCTCAGGCCCAGGTATCCAGCAAGTGAAGAGAGATTTCCCCCAACCATGGGAGCTCTGACCGGAGAGCATTTGGTGGATGCGTAGAAATGTATCTTCCTTCCTTTATTTCTTCTTACTCAACAAACATCCATGCAGCGAGTATTGTACGTCTGGTCAGAGTGCTAACAGATAGGGCCAGGACCCCACAAAGAGTTCTCTAATTTGGAATACCCAGGGAGATGGGTAGTCAATGGGGGAAGGGGAGTAAAATGAAAGAAAAGTTGCAATGACAGCATGTGTGGAAAACAATATATGGCTTTAGATTTTACAGTTAACCAAGATCTTAAAGGGGGTCTGCTTTACTGAATAGCAAAGAATAGTCCATAACTAGCTTTCATGTTGCCTGTAAAGGTTGTACATTTTTATGGTGCCTGTGGGTAATTAGAACCATCTAACCTTTAAGGAATTTAAATCGCGGTCTCCTAATCTTAAAATGTGCACAGAGTAAATTTATTGGACACATGCTTTCTTTATAGTTAGTTCAAAGGGAAGTATCAGTCTGGTTCCTTCAGGGCAGCCATCAGTTGTCATTAGGGGAATCTGTAGTCACATGCACACATCACACGTACATCTTCAGTCCAAGG